CCGCGACGCAGCAAAAGCACTGGCGGGTTACGGTATTCCAGCTGAATAAGAAAGGCGTCTCCTGTCCCGCATTCAGAGAGCAATATTCATAACAAGCATCGGGGGTATCGATGGATTGGAGTTGTCGGTTCTGAAGATGGCTTGGAGCGGTCTTGTCCTGATGCATGTCGATGGGAGAGGGCACCGAGAGACGGCGGTCTTGGAAGGGGGCTAGTCGCCCTCCTTGAGAGAATCGCTGTCCCGCACCAAGCACTATAAATGGCTGCGCGGGATTGGTTGTGGGAACTGGCGTCGGCGCGCAAGTTGCAGCGTTCTTAGAGCTCGAGTAACGCACGTTTACCGTTGCGGACTTTGCCAGTGGCGTGATGCACGAGGCCCCTGTGCCATTTACTGCATAGGCGAAAGCATTTAACCGTAATGACTCAGGGGCGCAGTCATCAGCCTTCACCTTGACGCGGAAGCGGCGTTTCCCACCCTTACGCTTGGAGAATGCAATGTTGAGCCAGTAGATCACAGTCGTTCCATCCGCATTTTTAACGATTTCTGGAGAGGTAAAAGGTTTCGGGGAAGGGCGCATCGCTATTCGCTCTACGGATAAGCCGTTTGGGAGATTAACTTGGAACTCCAGGTTGTCGACGGGGTCTTTGCTGGTCAAGGTAATGGTTAGCCTGGCCTGGCCCTTGCCTGCAAGGATCCCGTGTTTAGCGTTCGGCCTAGCCTTGGCCTTTAGGAAGAGGCCTGGACAATCTTGAGAGACGGTGGTGAGAATGCTTGCTAAGCCCAGAAGGGCGACAAGGAGGATATCAAAGAGATAAGCCATCATTTAATTGGTGGAACTGCGGTTGTATTGGCTAGTGTAGGTTGATTTTGAAGTGTGCGACGGCTTGACCTATAAATGGGCAAGATGATTCGAAAGATTACACAGATAATGAGTTATACAGCTATAAGCATTGTCACATTGGTCTTGGTAGTTCCTACGTAGGACAGAGACATCACAAGAAAGCCTATGACGCTCGATTGCATTTAAGTGCATGCTGCTCTGGTCAGGAAGAATTTAGCAGTGCATCGTTGCCAAGAGACTACGAGCCATTATTAACGACCGCAGGGCACACCTCGACAGGCAATGTGAAAAGCAAGAATAAGATTAATGCGTCGAGAGCCCAGAATCATTTCAATTGGATAATTCCCGACTCTCAGGAGAAGCGATGTAGAGCATTACTTCTGTGTGTGGCTTTACAACGATATGTGTTTCTGTCTTCCTCGATTCCGTTGACATGCACGGATGCAGGTCAGAATGTCAGCAGCGCGTCACGCCAGGACGATGAGGGGCCATTACTTTGGATCTCATGTTCGTTCCTCAACAGAGAGTATGAAGTGGAAGAGCAAACCGAGTGCATGACAGGACCTCCGACTTATTAATTTTTTGGACGTCCAGTGCGGAAGCACACAAACGTCTATTTTGAGTTTGCTCCGATCCTCGGAGGAGAGTGAGCTAAGGTAGGTCTAATGTGTGGCTTAAAGATGACAAGTATGTCTCTTTTGCCCGATTTCGTCGTTATCCACGGGATTCAAGTCAGGGTATTGTCAGTAGTGAGGCATGAAAACGAGGCACCCTTGCCAATGTGCTCCTGAGCATCCTTTAAAAAAGATGATGGAAAGCAATGGGCTTCGTGGCGTCGCGGAAGCCCATAAACATAATTTCCGGTCCTCGGAGGCACGTGGCACGTGTTCGTTTTAAGAAGGAACGCCAGTGCACATCATGTGCTCTTCATCGAGTGCTTTAGTGAAGTGCTTTTCAAGTACATGAATATCAAGGACCGTATACTGCAAATTCGGTTTGAGATATTGCTTGATGAGCGTCCGAGTCGGAGGCCCGCAAACATGAGTACTGAACAAGCTCCGATCCTCGGAGAAGAGGTCGTGCACATGGTCGTTCCATGAAGCAACGCCATTGCGTATAGTGTACGCTTCGCCGTCAGGTGACAGCTCGAGCACAGGGAGATTACTTGGAGTCCATTACACTTTGTAAATCCAAACGAATATTCCGATTTAATCCACCACAGTACCATTCACGTACGAACGCAGCTTTTACTCCACTTGACAGGCGAAAAACGGCAATCGCCGTCCTATTCGTTAACAGTCCCGGCATGCTAGCTTTTCAAATGTCATCAACAACGCGAACAACTACGTGACCGTCAGTGGTTGGGGCGTCTTACTGAAGCGGCCGGGGCTAAGTGCCTACCTGTCTGCGCTGTGCGTATACAATTGAAATGGAAGGAGCAGACATGAATTGAATGAAGGTAAGTATACGATGACCTCGTGTGGGGTGTTTATCATTCCTTACAAAGGGCGGAAAGACATCTTCGGCTTAAGCCATCATATCCCGATAAAATTGCCCTCACTGATTATGCTGCTTTCGTCTATTAAGAAAGATCCAGTACACTAAAACAGCTCTTCCATATCATAAGAATAGACCGTGGTCAGGTCTTATAGCGCTTGCTTGACACGATGCCTGTGAGTGTCAAGCGAACCATAGCATTGCATAGGCTTTCAAGTAAGTTTGGTAATCGTGAGAGAGAATTCTTTCCGTGCATCTTTTACATACCGGGAGTCTTATAAAACCAAAATCGGACTGCAACTGCCGTACTACTGACCTTTGAGGATGTGAAACTGGAACAGCCGCAGCAAAGCGGCTGGTAGCCCTCTACTTCGGCATCTAGTCCTTTCAGCAATACGTAATGTGAATCATGACGAAAGAATAAGTATGGCTGATTCAAGAGTAGATAACGGAGAAGAAGAAGGGATGAGTAACAGAGAGAGGGCGGACAAAGGGGGGAGGAAGTGGGAGGGGAGGGAGGTAACTCGTAAGCCACACCTGAGCTGCTCATCCATTGTAAGACTTGTTCTTACATCACTCAATGATTTTTTGTGGAGGAAAGGCTTCCCCAAGAAGAAAGATACGCGCCAAAAGAACGAAGGGAAATAACAAGGAGGAGGTGTTAAGAAGGGAAAAACCCAAAAAAAACGAAAAAGAGAAAATGATGACAAGGACGTGTCTTACCATACCTGTTGTTCGAGGACGACATAATTCGTCGCCTTTCTCTGGAGTGTGATGAATCTTAACGGCTTCAATTCGTGTTTTCTGCTCCGTTCATATTCTTGATGTACTATTGACCCTGACCCCAACATGTTTACCCTGTGGATTCAAAATACACTCACGTTTATATTACCGTCACCCTTCTACCACCACGCACACTTCTAGTCAAGCTTATACTGTCCTCAAAGGAAAAGGAAAAGGCAGTAGAAGGAGGTGGTGAGGTGTGGTGAGTTCTGCTGGGAGAAATGATGGAAGGAGGGAGGGAGAGAAGGATAATGAAAGTAAGGGAGGATGGGATAGAGGGCAGATGGAGCGAGGCAGGGAGGAGAGGTGGATGGATGAAAGAGAGGGTGAAAGAGAGGGAGGGAGGCGGGGAGAGAGACGGTTGCAAGAAAATATTTGCCGCACAAGGATCAAATGTCACGGCAGAGTCACGATCGAGAAACATCCAAAGACCTGACTGCCAGAGCCCTTCCTCCCTCTCTCTCCCCCTCCCTCCCTCCTTTTCTATCCTCCAAACACTTGGGCTCAATACTTGGCTTTTCCCTCTCCGTCTATCTCTTGATCACACCTTCTTGTTGGTAGACGCTGCCTTTGAGTGCTGGTCCTTGCCCAGAGACGTGATGGTAGGAGGGAAGGTATCGGTACAAGGGGACCAGGGAGTGACGACGTCCGTCACCACGCCAATGCTAACCCTAATCCTAACCTTACAGCCTAAAAGGTGCATTAATCATTTTGAGGGAGGAGGTGTGGAAAGCAACCGTTTTAACTCTCCGGGAGTAGGTTTTATTACATGCTCGTCTGTTCTTTCGATGTAGGGATCGAGGCAAGCAAGGTGTAAAGCCCTTCCTACACACCGCTCCATGTGCTGGCCATGTCCTCCAGTCGAACATAGTGTGCAGGACGATATGAAAAGCGTTCATTGCTTTCCGAGGACAACGACCAGTTATGATTCTAACGCCCGCTCAGCAAGGCGCCGATCCTACCAAAGCTGATATTCTGCGTCACGATAAAAATCGTTCTCGGCGAGGCCAAGCATGTCAGCAGCGGCCGATCCAAGATCCATCATCATTTTATCAGGTTCCTCTAAATCTTTGGACCGCGTATGGGCAACATGTGTGTTCGGCTGGGTGGAGGCGACGAGTAAATCTGGCCCGTACCTCTCTAGCGCCTTTTCCTTTAGCCGCTGCGAGTCCGACACTAGATACGATACGACCTTGGTCGTTTCCGAGGTCCTCTTAAGGCGCTCGATTGTACGGGTGCAGTCGAAATTTTGCATATAATCTTTGAATAGGACATCATCGGCATGAGAAGCGGTATGCTCGATCCCGGACGCGGATCTGAATGCCGATGCGTAGGATATTCTCAGGCTTGGAAGACGGAGCCTGCCCTTCAGTCATGCTGTCATTCGCGCGGTGTGGAGGGTGCAAACGGCCATTTGCCAGTTGCCATCCCGGGGCGCTCTGCGTAACTTGGTCGAGGGCAAGTAAATCCTAAAAGCATTGGATGGGAGAATGGACACACTCATTACTCAAATTTTTTGTGTCCTATTACGAGTTGTCAAGGAAGTGAGAAAGGGAAGAAAAAAAGAGAGCAAGAGTGAGAGAAACGTGAATAAGAAGGAAGGAACTCAAAGTTATAAATGAAACATTATCAAATAAATCATTCAATGCTTTCGACTGGCCGCTTTTGTCCAACTCCTTTGTCCCCTCCTCGTCTCCTCTCACCTCTCCTTCCTCTTCAAGTACCGGACTTTGAAGTGATGTCAGTGTTGAAGGAACGCACATCTTGTCTCGCGTCCCCTGACTCCTTGCGTCCGACTGAGCAACGAGAATACTTACTGCAGAGGACAGACTGACCATTCCTTTGACGCATGAGATACTTCTAGGAAAAATGGCGGGAAGCGATGAGGCAAGGGAAGAGAGAGTTGATCAACAAAGGTTTTGAGGGACAAGCGAGAGGGAGGGAAAGAAAAGAAAGGGGGGGGGATCACTAGTACCTTTTATAGACCTGTCCTTCCATGTCTTCAACCCCACGGGCCAGCACTTCTTGAGTCTGACGAGGGAGGGCTAAAGAAAGAAAGGAAACGAGGAAAAAGTAAGCAGAATCTGTGGAGGAAAGCAGAACACACGGATGCGAAACAAACTCAATTCTGATAGGGAGAGGGGGGGAGGCACGAGGAAATAAAGGAAGGGTTTTCGAGGGTAATAGAATACAGGGTTCACAGATGTAATATGCACCTGGGCCTCAATAGATGCATACATTCGATGCATATCTCCTCGTTTTTGTGTTTCATCAATCCAAGAGTGGAATAAGCTACGCTGACGAGGTAACCAAAGGCTGAGTGAAAGCTTCTCAATGTCGGAAAGCCCTGCGCTTCTGTTGTTGCACCCTCCTTGCTTTTCTCATTCCTTCCTCAGCCATTCCAGAGCCTTGCGTTGCTTCTCCAACGTCTTCCTCTCCTTATGTTGGCGCCAGTCCCTGTCTGCAGAGATACAAATCCTAAGCGGTTGAGCTGATCCGCGAGACGCAGGACGGCGAGGGCAGAGGCCAGACGCCAGGAACCTGTCGAGCTCGCGTCCCGACCACAAACCCCTTTCCTCCGCCATTGGCCAGCTTCCTCGTCAAATCCCTTTCTCTCACCATCTTTACCCTTGAGCGCCCTTCCGCTCCCTTGTGTATTAAAACGCCTTCCTGCGCTTAGACTTCCTGCACGCGAGCTCTTCAGTTTCCCCCTTTCCTTCCTTTTTATCTCCCTTGATGCCTCTCATCCCACGCCCCTCCCTCTCTCATCTATCCTCACCTCTCCCGGTCGCCTCCTTCTTCCTTTTGGCGTCCTCCCGGTTGCCCGGCAGAGTGGAGGGATCGAAGTAGTGCCTGAGCATGCGCACGTCTCGCTCGCAGGGGGGAGGAAGGCGGGGCTGGAGAAGGAACAGGTGAGTGGCAAGGGAAGGGAGCCGTGCCGGCAGAGAAAGACAACGGTCGCCTCTTGATTCATAAAACGTGATTTTCCCCCTTCTCTCTCCCGCTTTCCTCTCTGTTTCCCTCTCCGTCTCCATGCTCAGGCCATCGACCTCCCACTCCCTCTTTCCCCCCCTCCCTCTTTCCCCCCCTCCCCCCCTCTCTCCTTCCCACCCTCTCACCTGTGTCGACACCGCGTGCTCGTGTTCAACACGACAGGTGGCCTTGTTTTCTTCCTGTGCGGCAAATGAAAAATCGCAGAAAGGGCTGTAAGTCGAGAGGAGGGAGGAGACAAGCAGGAATCATCTCGCTTTCTCGCTTATGGTAGGACCACGACAAGAAGGAGACAAAGGAGCAGAACAGAAGATCAGAATCGACGGACCTAACCAACAGCGCAGACAATCCACAGACCTGGTAGCCAATAGGCACCTCCCACTGCCTCGCTTGAGAAACCACGTTGTAGTAAAAAGCACGCCCTGTTCCCTCCTCGCACAGCTTCACCCACGTCTGGTCCAAAGAGGGCTCGGGGGCGGGGAGCGGAGGGAAAGGCGGGGAATCCGCGTCAGGGAGCGGGAGGGGAACCTGAGGGTGGAAGTGGGAGGGGAGGAAGGGGAGGGCAGCCCGGTTGGATAAAAGGGGGCATGCGAGGGATCAGGCGGCGGAGCCCCCGCAAGACTTGCTCTGGCCCCGGGCTCTTGCCAGCGGCGCTTGCTGCTCGTTCGTTCGATCATTCTCGCCCCATATTCGTTGCTATCGCTACTGGCGTCATTCACAATGCCCCCGTTATGCTCTCTCCCTTCTTCTCCTCTCCCCCCTACCCCCCTCCCCGGTACCACTCCTCTCCATCACCTTTTCCAGGGCTGCGTGCAGCTTCCTCAGCTCAGGCGGTAGATGTGGGCCGCAGAGCGTGGTCGCGTGTCCCCGCCATCCCAGGGAGGGGTCCCAGGAAGGAGGAAGGGAGGGAGGGAGGGAGGGAGAGTGGAACGGAGGGAGAGAGGGGGGAGGCTTCCAAGAGCATGCACCCGTCCGCTCGTGATAGTAGTACGTCGCCCCCGTAGAGGGATCTATGGCGGTCGCCCAGTGTGGAGGGAGCTGAGTGAAGGAAGGGGGCTGCGAAAAGAAAGGCGCCCCCCCCGGGGGGCTGGCAGAGGCATCAAGGCCCTCAGTCTTGGCATGACCCTGATTAAACCTTGCGTGCGCAGGCCATGCCGGTACCTCACCAACGTCCCCTCGTGGTGCCGCTCCAGGTGTTCCAGGGGATCCGTCCTGAGGCAACCCTGTCTGTCTGTCCTCTCTCACCAACTCCGCTCCGGATAAAACGTGCGGGGCCATCACCCTGTTCCTGACAGTCGTTCTCGCATTCGCGCTCTCGTCTCTAACACCATGTTGGTCCTGAACGGTTGAATCTTCACTCACTTTCGCTGCACTATCCCTTCCATGGGAGCTTTGGACTGTGTCTTGATCTGTCTCCGCCGGCTCACCCTCTTCGCGTGAATCCTCTCTCTTGTCCCCAATACGTCCTGTGGTAGCACTTGCCCTTTTATGGCCCCTTCCAGGAGAAAACGCTTCTGGTGATTGGACGAACCCTTGCATCGCCTTCGTTGCCCTGTATGGCGTGCGTACACGTTATTGTCTTCCATTTGAAAATCATACGAGAGGTGAAATGAACGCAATGTTGCATACAACTGCCTCACGCATTAGTTTCCTCGTCCCTCAGAGGCGGGCTTTGGCTTTGGCATAAAAACGGCGACTGGGACATCGACACCCCGTCCGATTCGAGCATCACGAAATCCATCTCATTTCCTATCCATGCAAGACGTAAGGGGCCATCTGTTTCGGTCTTAATTGCTTTGCGAGCCTTACCATCGCCTCACGAACGTGGGAGATGGGACCGCCTCGAATGCGTCGGCATCATCGTGTACGCTCCTCCACGTCCTCTTTTGCTTGTGTTCTAGGCATCCTTGCCGCAATTGTGCCCACATATGACCATTATGTCGATCAATGTCCTGCTTTACTCGCGCGCGATAGTCTGCAGCCTCTGTCAGGTGGCAATGGGCTGTGCTGGAGCATGCAATAGTGCGTTTCAACCTCCCCCCCTTCGCTCCTTCCCGACACGACGTGAACGCACAGGAACAAATGAAGAAAGGGGCTCATCCCATCCATGGGCGAGATGCACGAGGGGCCTCGGAATCTCAAAGTCGAAGCGCTCAGGATGAAGAGGACAACGCGGCCTCATCCTCGAGCTTGCGGGCTTCCTCCTCTCGCACAGAGTTCCACGAGGACGAGTCCCTCATTCGCTCCTCCCGCCAACGGTCCACGGTCTCCTCCTCTTCTTCCTCAAAGGATAGTGACAGCGACGACAGGTATGATAGCAGCAGCTTGGAAAGTGAAGGTCGGGCCCCGCGCAAGGAGAAGGAGACGTCAGGGCGACCGCTGTCTGAAAATAGTGCTCGCAGCCCGGGCCAGGGGAGCCCGTGTCTCTCCACAGCGCAAGAAGGTGGAGGCAAAAGAGGGAGTGGTGAGGAGGCAAAACAGGGTGTGCGAAGCCTGCAAGGGCGCGAGGGGAAGGGAAGGGATGTGATGCAGGAGGAGGTGTCCAGCAGGGATGAGGGGGAGAGGACGAGCGGGAAGAGCGAGGAGAGGGCACGGACCCTAGCAGCAGCCGCGGTGCCCGCCTCTAGCCGCGCTATTGAGGAAGCGGTGCAATGGGAGCATCGAAAGGTGCTGCAGGAGCGGCAGAAGGTACTTGGAGTGCGAAGTGCCCCTAAAGACGGATATTTCTCTCCCTCCCTCCCTCTCCCGATATCCTCCCCTTCCCTCTTCCCTTCCTCACTTCCTCCCTTCCTTTTTACCTTCCAGGAGCTCCTCTACTACGAGCGCTTGTTGACGGAGCAGCAACAGTTGTTGAAAGCGATGAGCGCGCCCCTCTTCTCCCCGCCTTCGCCCTCAACCTCCCCTCTGTCTGCTCCTGGACCGCCGCGTCGCCCCACCCCACCACAAGGAGAGAGACCACCAGCAGCCGATAAACAACCGTCGCACGGGTCAATATCACCGTCGCAGGAGATAAAGGCCATGTACCCACAAGAAAGATATGTGCGACAAGACCAAAAGCAATCGAAAAAGCAGAAGCAGGAGCAACAAGAACTTGAGCAAGAAGGGCAGGAGCAGGAAGATGAGAAGCAGCCCAAAACGACAATATCGCCGCAGCAACGCTACATGCTACAAGAAAGAAAGCAGCAACCAAAAAAGAAAGCAACAAAAAAAAAAAGCAAGCAGCAACGGCAACACGAACAGGAGCAGGACGAGCAGGAGCGACTGTCACGGAAGCAGCCGAAGCAGGCAGAGCAGGCAGAGAAGAACAAGAAGGAGAGGCAAGACGACAAAAGGGACGGGACAAGAG